TTCTGTATACCATGTGTGTGCAATGACTGTAGACACCAGAAGAGGATGTCAGAATGAATCCCTTGAACTGGAGTTACAGACAGTTGTGAGCTGCCATTTTGGTTCTGGGAACTGGACCTGGGTCCTCTGGAAGAGCAGGAAGTGCTTTTAACCACTATATAGCTTTGTTTGCTTATCTTTAAAATCAGGATAACATTACTTCTTGCTTTGCAGAGTTGGGAATGGTTGAGGAGATGACTCTGTAAGAGATTTGCTTGATATTGGTAGAATTAGCACTTTCTGTGCCTTAATGCATTTTCTCCCCTGTTCCCATAGTATTTCTTTGCCTTTACAATACTCTGTTAACAGTTATAGTCACAGTTGTAAAAATTATACTGATATTGAAAACTTTCTCCATACCTCTTAAATGGCAGATCTGGTGACTGTAGAATGGTATATTCCCACAACCGAGGTCCTGACATTGACATAGTGACAATGTAGAACACTTTTGTCACCATGGGGATCCCTAATGTTGCTTTCAGTGGGCCTTCCTATTGAGTGGGCCTTAAGTTCATTTAAGCAGTTATTGGTAACTCCTTGGGTATAAGGTATCATTGTTGCATCCCTAGGGATGTCTTGCCATGCTGGTCATTGTTGTGATTGATAGGCTTTACAGCCGGGTAGGACTATTGATTGTTTTTCTCTCTTGGCGCTTGTATAGCTCTTCCCAATACTATGAGAGCTAGTTCTCAGGGAGGAGACCTCCAGGTCAGTTCCAGCTTGATTCCTCCAAGGCCTATGTCAGAAGTGTGTGGTGTCTCCAGCAATAGAGTCTTACCTTCAAGCTTTGGGAGAGCAGTGACAATAGCCTGTATTATTTTGAGAGTCTCTTCAACTTCCCTGACCAACAACTGAAAAGAAGGTTTCCCAGACCTGGCATTGGGGCTTTTGCTTGATAGTCTGTGACTCTTGGGTGGAGCATTATTGTCCCGAGTGATATAACATCATTTAAGCAATATGTGTTTATATACATATACTCATATATAATATATTTGTATTTTAAGTTAACATAGAATGTTTCCCAGTTATTTTTTGTCAAACACACTTGTATGTGTTTTTTAATTTAAATTGTATTTTACACACACACACACACACACACACACACACACACACACACACACTTGCCCTCATTTATGTCTCTGTACTGCTCACATTCCTGGTGACTCTGGAGGCCAGAGGTATTGGAGTTACAGATGGGTGTGAGCCTCCACGTAGGTACTGAGCATTGAACATGGTTTCTGTGATTACTTCAGGTTATATATTCACAACTGAGGCTTTGTAGAACCACAGATAAGAGAACATGAAACATTGTTTTCATTGTGGAGGTCTTTCAGTTCCTTAGGTCTTGGTTTCTCACTAATGTTTTCTAGTTCTAGTCATTTACCTGAAAATTCCTTCCTTCCTTCCTTCCTTCCTTCCTTCCCTCCTCCCTTCCCTCCTTCCTTCCTCCCTTCCCTCCCCTTTTCCCTTCCCTTTCCTTTCTTTTTAACAGCTGAATACTTTATGTAGTGTATATGTACTATATTTTCATTATCCATTCATCAGTTGAAGATCATTTAAGTTGTTTGCATTTTCTAGGTATTATAACTAGAGAGTCAAGCTGGTTCTAGTAGTGTACACGGCTGATCTCTGTGAGTTTGGGGCCAGCCTGGTATACGTGGTGAGTTCCAGGACAGCCAGAGCTACATAGTGAGACCCTCTCTCAAAAACAAACAAACAAAACAAAAACCAACCAACCAACCAAACAAACAAAAAAACCAACCAACCAACCAACCAACCAACCAACCAACCAACCAACCAACCAACCAACTAGCCAACCACAAAACAAAGCCCTCAAACCAAGCCTAGAGTCAGTGAACATGACTGATCAAATATCTGTAAAGTAGGATGTCGAGTTCTTTTGAGTATTTTCCAAGGGGTAGTATGGCTGAGTAATATGGTAGAACTGTTTTTCTATTTTGAGAATTTTTCACACTGATTTCTGTAATGACTATTAGTTTGCAGTCCCTCCAACAGTGAGTGAGTGTTCCTGTTTACCCATGCCCTCAATATTTGTTGTCGCTTGTTTTCTTGATCTTAGCAGTTCTGACTGGGGTGAGATGAAATTTCAGAGTAGTTTTATTTTGTGTTTCCCTGATTTTTGGGGTTGTTGAACGCTTTGGAAATATTTCTTAGCCATTTTTTATCCAGTCTTTTAAGAACTGTGTTCAGATCTGTATACTATCCTTAAATTTGGTTATTCATTTTCTTGATTTATTTCTTTTGATTTCTTTACAAATTTTTTCCCCATTCTGTGGGTTTCCTTTTTACTTGGTGATTGTTTCCTTTGCTAAAGGTTTTTAGTTTTATGACATCCCATTTGTCAGTTATTCCCCTTAATTCCTGAGTGGAATCTTATTCCAAAAGTCCGTTCCTATACTTATATCTTGTATGTGATGCTTATGTTTTCTTCTAGCAGTTTCAGATTTTATCCCGAGGGCTTTGATCCATTTGGAGTTGATTTCTGGGCAGAATAATAAGGCTCTAATTTCATTCTTCTGCATGTGGTCATCCAGTTTTCCAAGCGTCATTTGTTAGAGATGCTGTCTTTTCTCAAGAGTGTATTTTTGGTCATCTTTGTCAAATATCAAATGACTGTAGGTACCTGCATTATGGTTGGATCTTCTGTTTTTGTTCCATTGATCTACATGTCTGTTTTTGTTCCAGTATCTGTAATATATTTTGAAATCTGGAGTCAAAATCCCTTCAGCCAGCCTTCCTTCCTTCCTTCCTTCCTTCCTTCCTTCCTTCCTTCCTTTTTTCTCAGTATTGCTTTGTATATTCAGGGTCTTATGTGATTTTGTATGAATTTTAGGATTTATTTTTTCTAATTCTGTGAACAATGTCTTGGGCATTTTGATTGGGATTGAAGTAAGTCTGTCAATTGCTTTTGGTAAGATGGTTATTTTTATAGTATTAATTCTATCAATCTGTGCTAATTTTGGCAGTATATATACTAAATCTACCAATTTCATGAACATTGGGATGTCTTTCTATTTAGTTATGCCTTCCTGAATTTCTTTCTTCAAAGGTTTAAATTTTTTATTGTAGTGGTCTTTCAGTTCCTTGGTTTTTATTTTTATTTAGAGGCTATTGTTAATGGGAGTGTTTCTGTGGCCTTTTCTAAGCAAATATTATGTTGGCATGTAGAAAGACTACTGATTTTTATAAGTTGATTTTTGTATCCTGCACTTGGCTGAAAGTGTATGTCATTTCTAAAAGTTTTCTGCTAGAATTTTTGGTATCCTTTATATATAATATCATATCATCACAAATAGGGGTTTGTTGACTGATTCTTTTCCTGTTTGCATCCCTTTAATTTCCTTTTCTTGTCTTTCACCCTAGCTCTCTCTTGATTTTTGATTTTAATGTGGTTGATTTGAGTTCTTTTCCATTTAGAATAATGGTGGCTGTGGGTTTGCCATGGCCTTGATAATGTTGAGATATGTTTCCTCTAGTCCTAATCTCTTATGTCGTTGAGAAAAAAATTAAAAAGATTTATTTTTATTTTATATGTATGAATGTTTTCCTGAATGTATGTTTGTGTACCACATGCATGCCTGGTGTTCTTGGCGTTCCCAAGAAGGCATCAGATTCTCTGGATTTGGAGTTGTAGATGGTTGTGAGTTACCATGTGGGTGCTGGGAATGGAACCCAGGTCCTCTGCAAGAAAACAACCTCTGCAACAGGTTTTCTTATCTGCTAAATGAACGTTTTATCTCCTTTTCTAGAACTTTTATCATGAAGGCATGTTAGAATTTGTCAGACTTTTTGTACATCTGCTGCGATAATTATGTGCTTTTTGTCTTTAAATTCATTTATATGATTTATTACATTTCTCTGAATCTTTGAGATAAATCCAACTTGATTTTTTTTTTTTGATATATTCCTGTGTTTGGTTTGCAAGTATTTTGTACATGATTTTAATATCTGTATTTGTCAGGGATATTGACTGGTTATTTTTTTTAACATGGGAAGTTTTATTGGGGGAAGGGAAGAGAGTAAGGGAGAGAGGGAAGAGAGAAAGAAAAAGTGACAGAGAAGAGAGAGAGAGAGAGAGAGAGAGAGAGAGAGAGAGAGAGAGAGAGAGGGAGAGGGAGAGAGAGAGAGAATAGATAAAGACCTGCCTGCCTGTTCAGAGGAACAGCAAGAGAAAGAGTTTTCTTTTTTGTGTGTCTTTACTTTGTTTTGATATGAGAGTAATATTTTGTAGGCATTTACCAGTACTAGTTTTGACTGGCATAGCTGTCTAGTGAGTCATACACACACACACACACATACACGCACACACGTGCGCACACACATACAATCATGTATGTATATATACACATACACATATACATAAAAATATAATATAAAAATATTTTTATGTGTATGAGTCTTTTGTCTGTCTGATTGTATGTGTGTTCATCCAAAGTGTGCCTGGTGCTGAAGGAGGTCAGAAGAAGATGTCAGATCCCCTGAACTGTAGTTATGGTTGTTGTGAGCCTCGATGTGGGTGCTGGAAAGGGAACCTGGGACCTCTTCAGAAGCAACAAATTCTCTTATTTGCTGCCCCTTCTCTCCAGCCCTACCAGTCAGTGCCACACTTGAGGTTTCCTGAGAGCACTGGAGGCCTTGATGGTCTTTGGCCTCAACCACAGTGGGTGAGGGGAGTTGTTTGGGTTTCAATTTCCTTTCTCTTGAAAAGGCCCTGTCCTACTTTTTCCTCCATGGTGTTAGTCACAGTTCAATCATGGCATATTCCACCGTGGACTTGCACAGTTGTTTCTTTGGGTTTATACTCCTACGTTTTCTGTGAACTTAGACTTTAAAGAGTTGGTTAGATTCCAGGTTGGTGAGAATTTTGTTTACTAGTACAATGCTAAGCAGATGTTCATTATCTTGAGCTATTTGTCACTTTTTTTGTTAATGTGCAACAGAAGATGCCTTCTGCATCCTGTGATGCACTGCTGGATGACATAGAAGACATCTTCTCACAGGAAGAGTCAAAGCCACAAGACAGACATTTCTCAAGAAAGCATGTGTTTCCTAAAGTACGAAGGCGGAATACCCAAAAATATTTGCAAGAGGAGCCCAGGCCACCAAGTGACAGGTAAGCATTCTCAGGATTACATCCATCTAGGGGAGAGGCTGGCGTAGCTGGCCTACAGCTTATGTGGAGTACTCCAGTTTTGAGATCTTTGTATTTATAATAGGAAACACAGTTTTCAAAAATTGAATGGCAGTTAAAACAGGAGAAATACCAAGGGGATAGAGAGTGGGTCTAGGGGAAGCTGGGAGATGTACAGGATCTAAATACAGTGTAGGGAATTTTCCAAGAATTACTTAAAAACAAAACAAAACAAAACTCCAGATTGTATGTTCTTTGAAGGAAAGGGATGGGACACTAGGAGTCATTTTGATTTGATTATAGTCAGTATAAGTCTGTTATAATTGCAAATGAAAACTTTTATTGGAATTTGTAATTCTTGTGCTACAGTGGTGTTTTGGACATGTGATTATTCTTAGCATATTAGTGAATACCCAGGAATCAGACAAAGGCACTGGGCACAAAAAATAAAATAAAATAAAATAAAATAAAATAAAATAAAATCGTCCTGTTTACACTATTGTGGGGAACAATCACACAGTTGTACAGTTAGAATTAACTCATAATTGTATATCTAGTAAAGTGTGGAAGGTCTAATGATTACTTTGTTTAGATTATTGAACTTTTCAAGCCTGTGCATAGAATGTGCTTGTGTTTTAGTGAAGTTTGTCACATTTATCCCAAGCATGTCTCTTGTCATTTCTGTTGACTTGTAAATTGTTAGGGCAGTTTAAGGGAGAGTCTTTTCTTCTTCCTAAATAAATAGTTTAGAAACCTATGAATGGAGTAACTTTAATTGTGGAGTTTTCAATTTGATTATTTTTTAATCTATAAATTTTAAATGAATAAAGATTAGAACTAGTGTTTAAGAGTCTGTGAATGGACCAGCCATCAGACTTAGTTTTTATTTTATTTTTTATATGTTTTTTGTATTGTGTATGTTCATGAGAGTGTGCAGGTGCCTGTGTGTGTGTGTGTGTGTGTTCACACACATGTTCGTGTGTATTGTATGTGTTCATGTGTATTGTGTGTGTGTGTGTGTGTGTACATGCTATAGGTCACATCCACTGTCTTCCTTGATTGCTTTCTATTTCTTGAGATAGGGGGCTAATACTGAAGTTGGAGCTACTAATATGGCTAGGCTTGTGGGCCAGTGTGCTCCAGTGAGTCCCCTGACCCTCCTCCGCCTTCCTCCCCTCCCCAGCACTGGGGTTACAGATGTCTGCTGCTCCACCTGACTTTAAGCAGGTTGCTGGGAGGTCAAACCCAGGTCCTCATCCTGGCAGGGCAGTACTTTCATGACTTCACCATCTATGCAGCCCTTACCTCTTCTCTGGGTGTTATTGCTGCTACTGCTATTTTCCATGAGATCATTTGTGTGTGTCTTTGCATCAATAGGTATGGTTAATAGGAATTAAATCTACAACCCAGAGAAAACTTGTTTTGAGGCAAGATCTCTTGTAGTTTGGTTCATTGTTGGTCCTGAACTTCTTATTTTCCTAAGTGCTGGGATTACAGGTGTATGCCACCTGGCATGAAAGAACCTTTTTTTTTATTTGTATTTAGAATTTTTAAGAATTACATTTTATTTATTTATTATGTGTGAGTGCACATGAATGCATGGCTGAAGCATGTAAGCTAGGGTCAGAGGTCAGTTTGGTGTCAGTTCTCTTCCTGTAACATGTCATCTTGGGTCATCATTCTTGGTGTCAGGTACCTTTACTTGCTGAATTTTCTTGTAGATCCAAAAGGACATTATTTATTTATTTTTAATTAAAATTGTTTTTTATTTACCATTTTATTTTTATCCCCTTTTATTGAAAGTTGGTTTTTTCCCCACATAATACATTATGGTTATGGTTCCCCTTCCTCTGCTCTTCCCCATTCCTTTCCATCTCCCCTCCCATTTGGATCTATCCCCTTTCTGTCTCTCATTAGAAAACAAACAGGCTTCTAAGGGATAATAATGATAAAATATAGTAAAATAAAACAAAAAGGCACTTATCTATGATTACAACATAATGTCATTAGTAGTCAGTCATTTCATCACTACATTCTTTAAGTAGAACAGTGATATTTGGTTTTACCTGAGGTCCCTGGCCTATCTCTTCTCAGATTCTTGGCCACCCGAGCAGTATTGGAGATGGGTTCCGTCTCATGGAGTGTCATAAATCCAGATAATCCTGTGCCACTGTTGTACTAGTGCATCTTGTTCGCAGGTCACCACTATAGATTGAAGTTAGCTGGGTTAGTGTTTACCTTTCTCCTTGAGAAGTATGATAGCACCTTTCAGTGCATAAACATTAGTCAGCAGGGGTTAAGGCTCTAGGTACCCACCAGCTCTACTTCTCCGTGTTCAGTGGGTTGTGGAGGTGTTGTCCAGCAATAGGACCTTACTATAAGCTTGTGGAGAGCAAATCTATAGTACTATAAGTCTGGGAAACTAACAGCCTGAGTTGTTTGGGGGTTCCCATGGACCCCCTTTGACCAACACCTCAATTAGAGAAAACCCATTCCCAGGATTGAAATTCTCTGACAAGAGATACAAAAGGACATTTTTAAAATACAGAGATTCTCCTTGTGATTCTGTGGTTATTTTATCTAGACTTTAGTTTTAAAACATTTTGCTTATTACTATTGTGACTTTGTGCATAATGTGTATTAGTGTGTCATAGTTAGGGTTTCTGTTGCTGTGATAAAACGCCAGGACCAAAAAGCAGCTTGGGGAGGAAACTTTTTATTTGGCTTATACTTTCATATCAGTGTTCATCACTGAAGGAAGTTAGGACAGGAACTCACACAGGACAGGAACCTGAAGACAGGAGCTGATGCAGAGGCCATAGAGGGGTGCTGATTATAGCCTGCTTTCTTGTAGAACCGCCAGCCCAGGGATGGCACCACCCACAATGGACTGTGCCCCTCCCCCATTCACTAATTATTTATCCCTGGGGTAAGAAGGGACTTTGGGAGCCCATCCCACATTGAGGGATGCTCTCTCAGCCTGGACACATAGGGGAGGGCCTAGGCCCTGCCCAGGATGATATGACTGAAAGTAGGGAACCTCAATGGAGGGCCTTACCCTCCCTGGGGAGCAGAGGGGGGCTGAGGTAGGGGGCTGGTGGGGGACTAGGGGGAGGGGAGGGAGAGGGAGAGGGAGCATGGATTGACATGTGAAGCAGCCTTGTTTCTAATTTGAACTAATAAAAAAATAATCTCTTGGGAAAAAAAACAAGAGAAAAATATATAAATTTCAAAAATAAAAAAAAGAAAATGTCTTATATCCAGATGTTATAGAGGCATTTTTTTTTCAATTGAGGTTCCCTACTTTCAGATGACTCTAGCTTGTGTCAAACTGACATAAGACGAGTGAGCACAAAGTGTGACCATGAGTGCCATGGTGAATATCAGATCAGAGAACAGCTCTGTGGAGTTGGTTCTCTCCTTCCACTTTTACGTGGTTTCCAGGGATCAAGCTCAAGTTGCCAGGCTTGTGCAGCAAGCACCTTTATTTGCTGAGCCAGCTCACTGTCCTTTGATTTTAGAGTTTTGTTGTAACAGCAAATTTTAAATTCAGTTGCTGCATTTTGTAGCTAGCTTGTGAATGGATTCCAGTTTGTTTTTTGTGTAATGTGCCCTGAAGTCATCTAGTGGCTTTTATTTTAAAAATCACTTAAATATACTCACTTTGTTTTAATTGATTACTTAACAGCACTATTCCAGGCATACAGAAAATTTGGATACGAACATGGGGCTGCTCACATAATAATTCAGATGGAGAATACATGGCTGGACAGCTGGCTGCTTATGGCTATAAAATTACAGGTAATGAGACCTATAATGTATTTTATTGATTAAATTTCAGAGTTGCAGATTTTGGAGACTGGTAGTCTAGCCCCAGCAATTTAATAGTATTTTAGTGTAACTTAATGATTTGAAGGTAGGACTCTAATAGCTACTATACATTATTAGATAGCTGATTATCATATTTTTGCCTTTTATTTTTGTTTATTTATATTCCATTTTGTGTGTATATATGTGTGGGCGCGCATATCCATTGGTACACATCTGGAGGTCAGGACAGTTGTGGGAGCAAATTCCTTTTTTTGGATCCCATGGATCAAACTTACGTCAGGCTTGATGACAGGCACCTCTACCCACTGAACCATCTCACCTGCCCTGGTATTGCATTTTAAAGTAACCTTAAAACCTTTTTTATTTTGAAATGAAAAGCTTTAGAAAGTTCCTATAGAAAGTTCACATAAGTTCTTTACCTAGCTTTTTCTTTTTTTTTTAACAATTAATTTTTATTTAAATTAAAAACAATCTTATTTTACATACCAATCCCAGTTTCCTCTCCCTCCCATCCTCCCATGCCCTCCACCAACCCCCCCCATCCTATCCCCCATGAGGGTGGGTAAGGCCTCCCATGGGGGATCATCAAAGTCTCAGCTAGGCTGAGAGAGTATCCCTCCATAGGGAATGGGCTCCCAAAGCCCATTCGTGCACTAGGAATAAATACTGGTTCCACTGTCAGAAGCCCCATAGACTGCCCAAGCCCCCAACTGACACCCACTTTTGGGGGCCTGGTTTGGTCTTATGCTGGTTCCCCAATCTGGGGTTTGTGAATGCTCAGGTCAGCTGTTTCTGTTTACCTAGCTTCTGTTAACACATTACATGACTGTACTTTAATAATCCAAAATGTTAGCACCTTTGTGATACTGCTGTCTAAACTGTGTATCTAACTTGAATTTTACAGCATTTCCCTATAAGTTCCTGTTTCTGTGCCAGGGTCTATCTCAGGGTCCCACTTTATATCTAATTGTTATGTTTCGGTAGTGTTTGAGAACTTGACAGTTCCTCAGTACGTTCTCTTACCACCTTCATATTTCTGAAGGAAACTGGTTGTTTGTCATATGTCCCTGTCTTAGTTACTTTTCTAATGTGATAAAACACCATGACCAAGGCAACTTATAGAAGAGTTTATTTGGGCTTATGATTCCAGTGAATTAAGAGTCCATGATGGCCACCAGGAGGTAGCAGGTAGCAGGCAAGGTGGCCAGAACCATTCCAACACTGGCCACAGCCTAATCTCTATGTCATAGTCTCCAGTGGAAACTGGCCTCACTCCATTCCTGGGTCTAGTTCTAGAACCTGCATGGCTTGTTGAAGCTTGGGAATTCACTCTGCTGTTGCTGGCCCACGCTTGTACAAGTAGGAACCATAACTGTGTCCATGGTGAGGTTGGAATACTTCAAAGTCTTTAGCTGGAGCTTGACTTTGTTTGCATGCTTCTTGAAAAGGGGTTCAAGATCCCAGTGAGACAAATGGACTTGGAGCTATCACATCTGGACTTGGAACACCTCTGGATTTTAGATGTCTTCAGGCATTTTCTCCCATGGTGGAATATCTTTATGGGTCAGGTGCATTCTCATCTTGAGTCTCTTACCACTAGCTACTTACCAGGGAAGACTGGATTAGATGTAACCAGGATTAAGGCAATTTATAAACGAGAGTGTTTAATTGAGCTTATGGTTCCAGAGGGTTATGATGGCAAAGGCATGGCAGTAGCAACATCTGGGAGCCCACATCTCAAAAGCAGGAGGTTGAGAGAGCATGCAGGGGATGGTGGGAGGCTTTTGAGATCTCAAGCATGTCCCCAGTGACAGGCTTCTCTAACAAGATCCCTTCTCTAATCCTTCCCAAACATTTTGGTCACCAAGTAGGAACAAAATATTCCAATATATAAGCCTTTGAGGAGCTTCATTCTCATTCAAATTACCATATCAGGTATAGCCAGTCTCAATACTTTTTGTTCATGAAATTAAAAATGCTTAAAATACACTTTCATAATTACTGCCTTATTCAGTACTAAGTCTTAGTATAATTTAGCTTGAGCTTGCTTTAATACATTGTGATGGTGTAGTTTAATAAGAAGAAAGCCTTTCAGGACATTTATAAAACATTAAAAACATAAAGCACCAACTTCTGAGGTAATAGTAAATATTTGCTCAATTTTAATTTAGAGTTTAATCCATTAACAGTTTGGATATGGCCTATGAAAGCAGTCTCAATATAACATAACAGTCCTATGTGTTTATCTAAGAATACACTTTCTAAGTGTGGTAGTCTTGTGGCACAGGTCTGCAATCCCAGCACTTGGGAGGCAGAGGTAGGAGGATCTCCTGTGAGTTCAAGGTCAGTCCGGCCTATACAGTGAGTTTCAGGCTACCTGGGCTAGTTAAGACTTTGTTACAAAACAAGAATAAACAAAACAATTTACTTTTTTTTATGCAGATTTAGTTTGGATTTCTTAAAAAAAAAATCTGTTTATTTTGTGTGTATGCGTGCCAGGACACTCATGCAGAGGCCAGAGGAAAATTTGTGGAGTCAGCTCTCTGTAGTGTGGGAACTGGAGCTAGAATTCAGGTTGTCTGGCTCACTGTAATTTCCTCTATTCACTGAGCCCTAGTTTTGATTTCTTATTTGGGAATATTTTAAAAACGAGAATTAAAAAAATATTTGTACATACTTTAATTTCTTTTTTTCTTCAGATTTTTAAATTTAAATTAGAAACAAGCTTGTTTTACATGTCAATTCCAGTTCCCTCTCCCTCTCCTCCTCCTTGCCCCCTACTGACCCCCTATCCCATCCCCTTTCTGCTCCCCAGGTAGGGTGAGGCCTTCCATGGGGGAATCTTCAAAGTCTGTCATATCATTTGGAGCGGGGCCTAGGCCCTCCCCGATGTGTCTAGGCTGAGAGAGTATCCCTCTTATGTGGAATGGGCTCCCAAAGTCCATTTGTATATTAGGATGAATACTGATCCACTGCCAGAGGCCCTATAGATTTCCCAGGCCTCCTAACTGACACCCACAATCAGGGGGTCTGGGTCAGTCCTATGCTGGTTTCCCAGCTTTTTATGTGCTTGTATTAATTACATGTATTTATATTTCATGTACCAGTCATTATCCTCACTTCTGCACGACTCAAATGCTGTAGACTGTACAATCACTTACTTTACTCATCTAGGTATATAACAGTCCTGGGAAATATAAATAAGCTTAGCTCCTGTTGTTGTTTATAGTATTTTTTAAAATTTGAAGTTTTAATAATTGCGTTTTATGTGTGTTTTGCCTGTGTATATGTCTGTACACCATATGTGTGCAATGTCCTCAGAGTTCTCTGGGACTGGAGTTACAAACATATGTGAGCCATCAAGTGGATGCCAGGACTTAGACTTGGGTCCTTTGGAAGATCATTCGTGTTCTTCATGGCTAAGATATATCTCTAGTACCATTTGTAGCAAATTTTATTTTATTTTTTATGAAATATATGTATAGCAGTACAATGTACACATTAAATCACATAAGAGAATGATTTGATATAGCTGCATACTTTTTTGACAGAGTTTCTTTATGCAGCTCTGGTTGGTCTGCAACTTGCTATGTCTATTGACTGGCCTTGCACTCTTAGAGATCAGTGCTGCCTCTGTTGGGATTAGAGGGATATACTACCATGACCAGTCTGGTTTCCTATTTATTGTGTATATGTACACTTTCCTGGGTTCCGGGGAACCAAATTGTTAGCTTGCACTGGAAGTGCTTCATACCCCGAGCCATCCCCACAGCCCCTTGTTTTTTCTTTTGTAACACTTGAGTTCCCCCACTCTTTTTTTCCCTCCATTTTAAAATTTGAATTAGAAACAAGATTGTTTTACATGTCAATCCCAGCTCCCCCTCTCCCCCTAACTAACACCCTACCTATCCCATACCCTTTCTGCTCCCCAGCGAGGGTGAGGCCTTCCATAGGGGGTCTTTAGAGTCTGTCACATCCTTTGGAATTCCCCCACTCTTTGCCTATGCTAAACATCTCTGTCCTGAGCTGTATTCCCCAGCTCTCTGTAGACCTCGTTTAGATCTGAAATGTAATTTGCCTGATTTCTGGATTACTGATTCGGTTTTCTTGATTATTCTTGAATAGTGGTATCTTACTAAAGTTATTAATTTAGATTGTTTTTGTTAAGTGTAGGCTTGAGATAACAATGAATATATGTATGTATTAAATTTAGATTTCATGTACTGAATACAGAGATTACTGAAAACAGTGTATAGAGAAATCAAGATTTCTTAATGGCTACTTGTAGATATTTTACTGTTTGATGAAGAAAGATGATAAGGGTTAAGATACTTGAAATTGCTGTTTTAATCTCTGAGTTCAGGATATAATTATTCTACAGGAAAACGTCATAAAAATCCAGAGTAGTTGTTGCTTATCATTTCTTTCTAACATTTTTCATTTTTAAGGCAAAGACTCATAACTTTAAAAAACTTCTTTTGAGAGGGGATTTGAACTATCCAAGTAGCCGAGAATGATTTTGAATTTCTGCTTCTCTGCCTGGTTTTATGCAGTGCTAGGGATCGAACACAGGGCCTGGAGCATGCTGGGCATGCACCCATAGAGGACATCTTATGAAGATAAAAGATATATTCCCTAACAAATATCACTCAGAACAATTAACTGGTATCAAGGGTAATGGGAAATACTAGAATTGTATTGGCAAGGTGGCAAACAGGTGAACCTTCCTCATTGGAACTATTGCCTTTTAAAGAAATACGGTCTGGCTGGGATTGGAGGTATACTTGGATGTACTTGGGAAACTGAGGCAGGAGAATTGTGAGTTGTAGATAGCCTGGGCTGTGTAGTGGGACACTCCAAAAAACAAGTAGAAATGTGGTTTGAATGTCTATATTCCAGGAACACATTCTTCCAGGAAGTGATTTTGATAGGCTGAATGTTCCCCTTAGTAATTATTTCCTTTGGCGGCT